CATGTGCATGTAATTATTTATCTGCTAGTGATTTATTTTGGTTTTATAATAGTAATATATCAACAAATCAATATAATAAAAATGATGAAACAAGAAAATATAATTCTCAAACAATATCACCAATAGCAGCAGCAGTTTTTTTTCTTGAAGGTAAAATTTTCAAAAACTAAAAAAAAAAAAAAGAAATTTATTTCATTGAAGAAAAAAATATACTTCGTTTTTTTTTTTAGGAACAATAAATGAAAATTCATTAAAAAAAATATTAATTAATCGTCTTGTAACAAGTAGTATTCGACGTGGTACAAATATAGGACGAAAATTATTTCCACGTTTTTCACAATTAATTGTTTCACGTTTTTCTGGTACAATGTGGATTGATTATTCATTATTTTCTATTGATGAACATGTACATGAAATTTCACATAATATTCAATCTGATGAAGAACTTCAATCATATATATCAACATTAATATCAAATGAATTACCACATAATCGTCCTTTATGGCAATTATATTATAAAAATCGTGCAACAATACGTCCAAATGATAGTATACTTATCTTTTTATATCATCCTGTTTTATCTGATGGTATATCATTATTACGTATTTTATTGAAACATATTGTTGATAATCGTACAACACAATTAGATATTAAACCACGTTTTGCTGGTCAACATGGTGAAAATATTATATGTGATTATATAAAAGCATATTTATTCGGACATAAACTTATATTTAGTAAATTATTATTCAATACATCTAGAGAAAATTTTTTTAAACGAACAATATGTAAAAATAAAACTAATAATTATAATAATGTATCGACTATTAATTCTGATGGACAACAACAACAACAACAACCAAAACAACGGGTTGTTGTTTGGTCAACTCCATTTAGTTTAACGCAAGCTAATCGAATGAAACTTGTCACAAGAACACGTATGAATAATCTCCTTTCATCATTAGTTATTTCAACTATCAGATTATATATGGAACGATATGGGTAAATTTTGTTACTATTAATAAATAAATCTTGAAATAAGTTCGATATTTTTTCAGTTGAAAGAGTAAAAATTATTATTCTTTTTTTGTTTTATTAAACACAGACAAACACATCAAAGAAATGCTTTTACTTACTGCTTCATTAATTCTTTTGTCTCTTTTATCATAGTGTTTTCAATCCAGCAAATATGAATTGTATAATGCCGTGTGATCTTCGATCAAATTCAGCTAATATAGTTATGGGAAATCAATTATCACATCTTTGTATTGAATTACCTATGAATGTTGAAGGTAACATTCCACTTTTATGGTCATTTAATGATGGTACAAAACGTGTTAAAGAAAATGGAGATTATGCTACTATGTATTTATTTACTCATATCACATATCTTTTATTTCCTTTTTGTTTTGGTATGTTTGAATTAAATTAAAAAAAAAATTCTTTCATTAGTTAATTTTTATTATTTTTAGCTAATAAGATAATAGCTAGGGTTTATAATAGTGCTAGTGTATGGTTAACATCATTAGCTGCTGGAAGTAGTACAGCATTAGCCACAATGTCAATATGTAATCGTGATGTACGAAGTTTAATATGTCTTAGTCCAAGTATTGGTACAGCTAGTCTTAATTTTTGTGTTACATCATATGCTGATGAAATTCGTCTTGCTGTTATTGCGGATCCAAATATTATACCAAATCCAAAATTTTTTACTGAATGTTTTAATCAACAAGTAAAAAAAATAAAATCTTTTGCTTGTTTTCCTCACCAATTTTTCTTTTAATATACATCCAAATTGTTATATTTAGTTAAATATTGTTCAAGATCTTCTTGCTCATCGACGAATTCCTGGTGAAATTCGTCGAATAATTCGACCACCAAAAATACAACCCCAACAGAAAAGTATCAGTAGTATATCGGATATGTCTGATGATTTATCAATAGAAGAAGTAAAAATAAACAGACAAAGAAACAAATATTATTATATTGTTGTTTTTTAATATTTAGATTCAAGCAAAAATGACAACATTACAACAAGAATTACTTTCATTAAAAAGTCAATTTGAAAATGTTGATATGAATGAACCATCATGTCAAACACAACGTTTAATAATAACAGCAAAATTAGAAGAATTACGACGAGAATTTCGTGAATTACTTATTAAATTACAAGAACGTCAATGTGAATTATCAGGTATGATACCAAGTGATGAAGAAGATGAAATGGATCCACAAGTTCGTGTACGTTTACGATCGGCAAGTGTTGCATCTAGAATATCTTTACGATCAAATGATCAACGACAATTATCAGCAAAGTAAAAATAATAGAATGATTTTTCTTTTTCTTTTTCTTTTTCTTTTTCTTTTTATAGAATGTATCAGTTAGAAAAAGATGATGGAAGTGAATTTCATGCTGCCATTGTTCATAAAATCCCATCACCATCAAAAATGAGTTTAACAGTGCATCAAGTAGTAAGTATTTCTTTTTTTTTTGCTTGAAGAAAAAAAAAATTATTTTTTCTTTTTTTAATAGCAAGATCAACAAGTCGGTATGCGACGTGCACAATCAGTAAGTATTTGTGAAAACACTCAGGCTGATACGCAATCACAAACAACATTAAATCATCCACAACCAACAACAATATCAGGAACATTTGAAACAGCACCGAATAATACTATTGTTCATCTTCATCCGAGTGAAAATTGGAAAAATGGAAATTAACATATGTATATGTTTTCCATGATTGCTCAATGTATTTTTACTTTCATGTATATATATATATGAATAAATCGATCGACTGTCAAAACAGTCGAAGTTTTTATTTTTTTGTTCCTGTACATATATTTGTTTAATTCTTTTTTTTTGTCTTTTTTCATTGTTGTCTTGTTTTGTTTTCCTTTTTCGTTATTATCTATCTTTTTTTTATTTGAATCAATTAACAACAAAACAAAACTAAAACTAAAAAGAAAAATACTATTAGACGCATGAATCCTTTAGCAGATTATTCAGCTGATAAAATTATGATAGATAGAGAATGATGGAAGACATGTAAATTAGAGCGGAAATTATCATATTATGTAATTAATGCGGTTGATTATGTGTTATTAGTAAAGTTTGAAAAATATATTCAGATATTTTATGGAATATGATCTAAACGTATTGTTAAAGTATAGGGGTTGATATTTGTACTTCCCCATCTGCAGACATGACAGAAATGTTAGAAATGACTGATTACAGATGTGGCAGGCATCGTTAACAACAATTCATCACAGATATGACAGTCATCTTAGCAACGACATGTTACAGGCATTCTTAGCAACATTTCTTTTTCATCACAGTCCTTGACAGATCTTATTGATATATGATCACAGCCTGCATATTAATAACATCTCGTTATAATAAATGAACTACTTCCTTGTTACATTTCTGAAGGATTTAAGTAAAGAGATGATTAAATATGTTTTCAAATAGATAAAATAATACGATGTGAATATGATTAGTAATAGCAGTTACATTGTGTTGAAAATTTTAATCTCGCAGAGATTGTGTTAACAACTTTCATTTTACATAAGACTAGAAAAATTTTTCAAAAAGCATAATAATATATTAAAGAGTCGATAGGAACATCGATCAAAGAACTATACTTCTTTTTATTTACTATGTCATTTATCGAAAAAAAATCGAATGATTATTTCTACGATTGATTACGAAAAGTTTTTGTCTACAAATAACTTACATTTTACTAGAATCAATATTTGGTTTTTCTGTTAATGTAAACTATCAATGTCATATTTCGTTCAATCAGTTAATTGAAGTTCAAAATAAAGTAAAAACTGAACTATTGCATAATTTATTACTAAGAAAACTCTATTAATAGATATGATTATGATTTTCATGAAATCCTATCAATTAATCGCTTGATTCTCGTTCTAATTCATTATCTATCATCCACTGTATATACAGCTGTGAATGATTACTAACATTTCGAAGTCCACAAAAATTTGCTTTTTTGTACATGGTTTTCTATAAGAAAATAGAACGTTTTATTGATGATCTGAATAAGAATAGTATAGATTTGATCTCGATAGTTTTTATTTGAAGTCTGAACAATATATTGTATGACTTTTCATTCTTGAAATGATCGTGACAGGAAATAGCCATTTTTTATACGGATATCGTTAAAAGAAAAAGAAAACCTGACGAAGAACTACTTAAAAGATATGCGATGATAAGCATTAATAAATAGAAAAAAGACTAAATTGTCATCATTTTCACTCTTCTATTCTTATTTAAAGTAATATTTACTTGAGTATCATTATAGAAACTATTAAAATTTAAAAATTAAAAGTCATATATATATATTAGTTTATAAGTACTTTTACGATAAAAAAACATGACTATTTTCACTCTATGGAATCAATTTGTTTTTCCGTGATAAACAAGACTATAGAGGTTTTTCTCATAAGACCATTATGATCTTACAGGTCATAACATGAATCTAAGATTTTGAAATATATATATTTTTTTCAAAATCTCTATAAAAATGAGTATTAGACAAGTTAAAATTACTCTCGTTTTCATTTCTTTGTACTTAAGACAATGTAGATATTCATATCGGCAGCGAAAGAGACAAAAACCACTACGTATCACACAACAGAGCATATGATCGAATATATTCCTCGAAGGACGAATGTATGCATACATGGATCTACTAAGGCTATCTTCAACATAGTATAACTAAGAAATTTTTCTATAATCTCTATCAGGTGTTATTTTCTCTTTTTTTTGGGCAAGACATGATAACACCCACTCAGAATGGCATCGTCAGGTAATATTTCATTTTAAATGTAATGCCAAGGATTAACAATAGTTTATCAGACATTTCATTTTTCTGGGATTGTAAAAAAAAATAGATATCAATATCATTTGCTATGAAATAAATAGTCAATGAAAATGTAATTTTCTAACGTGATATCTACAAATATAAGAGCAAGGAAGGATGTTATTAATCAATATTTTAATTATTTGTTTAATAGTCTTTTCTAATTATGTTCATGGTGAAGGTGAAAGTGAAGGTAAATGTGATGCTGTTATTGATCTTAGTCTTATAATTGATTCATCTGGTAGTATTTCTCCTGATGATTTTAAGAAAGGCAAAGAAGCATTAATTGATATTGTTAGTCGACTAAATGTTGGTGTAAAAAAAGCTGGTGTTGCTCTTATTAATTATGCATCAAACGTATCACTTATTGCTCAAAATGCAGTGTTCGAATTTAATAAAGCAGAATTACTTAAACAAATTGCTGAACTTCCACATATTCGTACAAATACAGCAACTGGTGATGCGTTAGCTTTAGCTGGAAAGTATTGTGGATTAAGATGTCGAAAGTTAATGGAAGGAATTCCAAGAATTTTTGCTATATTTACTGATGGTCAAAGTAATGAAGGTCGTCCAGTAATACCTGCTGCTGAAGAAATACGTAATGGTCCGATTCAAGGTGATATTTTTGCTATAGGTATAGGAAATATTAGTAAAAAAGGTCGAGATGAATTAATTGGAATTGCTGGTGATGTAGCAAATGTAATGCATATTGATTCTTATCTTGATTTTACTCATGTTTCAAATGCTATTGCAATGGAAATGTGTGCATTTCCAGCTTTTATTTTACCTGATGTTAAGGTTCAAACTCAAGTAACAGGAAATAATACTCGATATTATAAAATGCAAACATTACATAAAAAAGCTAAAAGTGCTTTTTTTGAAATTGAAATAGATGATATAGAAGGACAAGTAAGTTTATTGAATATTTTTCGTTTTCAAATATAAAATATTATATTTGAATTTATATTTCAGTCTATTGTATATACATCGACAACCACTAGAAAGCCAACATCATATTCATCAAAAAGTATTAGCAAACGTACTGCAAAAGGAAGCAATATCTATACAACATATGTACCAGCCGATGCAAAAAATTTTTATTTTACTATTAAAGGTGTTAAATCAACAATAAATAAATCAGATTTCATTGTACACGTTCAACCAGTTGATTTTTAAAAAAGAAACATGAATTTAATAAATTGATATTAAATAAAAGAATGAATTTATCAATAATAATATCTTATTATTGAATAATTATGAAAAAGAAAAGTATAAGATTTCATTTTCAAAAATATTCAATTATGTTCATATAAGATTAGTTCATCATATATTGCTTGATGCATTAAAGTGTTAGTAGAGTGTTACAACATGTCTATTTATTATTGTATTACATTCTCGGTTTATATGGATGACATTGTTTTGCTGAAATACAATGCATAAATATGTATCATTAGAGATATAGCAATGCTCAGATGATGGTTTCAAAAATGACTTTGTTTTAATATTGAGAGTTCATTATTCTAATAATTTTTTTAGTAACCATTCTGCTCAGTTTTGATTGCTCTATGCAATATTATTGTTCAATTTCATCGGATCTAAAAGTGAGATTCAGAATCAGTTGAAATTTATGAGCTTCTCAACAGAAAATCCAACCTATTCTTGAAACTTCAATTGCAAACTAATGTACCTGTAATATTGAGAATTCATAAATTCATGTCAATCGTTTATAACAACTTTGTATGCTCAATCCAATAATATTCTTTGATTTCTTTGAAAAATTAAAAAAGAGTATGACATTGATTGAATTTTTTTTTGAAACTCATAAATTTTAACAAAGTCTGAACCTGATATTTTTATAAAATCCGATGAAATCTAATGATAGCATTGGATAGAGTAACTAAAACTTAGCAGAACTGTTGTAAAAACTGACATGAAATTAATTTTTACTATTAAAAAATAACCATCGTTGAAACTACGATCTAGGAATTGATACATCCCGATATGTCGTACTATTTTCCTTGCTACAGACAAGGTCAAAATAACCTCATCATTGGTTTATGTCGTTGATTGTTGCAGTTTTCTTAAACCATGAAAATTAAGATGACTAGGTCCTTGAAATTTCAAAAAGAGAAATCTCAATTTTTTTTACATTTGGCATTAAGAATTCAATTACTTTTTCTATAGATAGCATCAATCTTGATTTTTCTTTACCATCCCATACAATCCTTTATATTTTGACTCACTCAGTTTTATTCTTATTATTTATATATTATTTTGTTATGTGCATAGAAAAAATTCTTTTTCAAAAATTCGAAAAAAAAAAATGTTACCTATTATTGTTCATTTTACTAGCAAAAATCATACAAGATTCATAAAATGTATTTTCAACAAGTAATGTGATCAAACTACTCACCGAACTAAGGTATGTCCAGAAAAAAAATGGCCATGGGTATTTTTGCAATAACTCAAGAAAAAAATGAGCTAGAGAGCTGCAGTTTTCATCATTATGTAGATCCGTGAGTATTCTATATATTCATCAAGACATGATGGAAATCTATGTGGATTCAGTGTCTCATCATCATCAATTTTTCAAAGAGTCCAGTGCAGTTTTTTAATGTTATATAGAGACCTATATGCCTAAACTCTTTAAAAGGTAGCTCAAAGACATCGCTACAAAATGGCACCAGGCCCACCTCTCTAGCTTTTGTAGTTCTTCAATGGCACTCATTTTCCTAAAATCTATGACACCGGTTTTCTCCAGTGTCAGTAATCGTAAAAATTCATAATAAATAGGAGTTTATCTTCAAGCAAACTATCATATACATAATAAACAATAATTTCATGTAAGCGTAAGTGAAACAGACTATCCACAAAGAAAGTATAGTCAAAGCAATTGAAAATTTGAAACAATAAATAATATAATTTCGCACACGTTTTTTCGTATCTTATCAGTAATCATTCAAATTGTTCATTTACTTTGTCATATACTTTAATTGCTCTAAGCAGCATTTACATTTTGACTTGCCAAGGTCCATAATTTACTATTCGTCCGCTAGTGATTTCCTATTCGATGTTTTCATTCTTCTATAAAAAATAGCATATGTAGTACGAGAATGAACCCTTTTTCAACAGCAACTGGATTTTTTCAACTAACTAAACAATATGAAGCCACGTACAAAGCAGCTGATAATTATATTGAATCAACATTAGTTGAGACTGATAATGATGAATCTGATCTTGATTTATATGAAGATAATGATGTCAGTAATAGCAGTGATGATGAATAAGTTGAATATATTCTCGTGATATTGATTTCTATGTCATTTGCAGAATTTTATTAGAACATTTTACTACTGAATTAAAGTCTTGCGACAAAATCAATAAAAAATTTTTCATTTCACTTGCGCTTACATGAAATTATCGTTTATTATGTTTATGATAGTTTGTTTGAGCATAGACTCCTATTTATTATGTATTTTATTATGAATTTTTACGATTACTGACACTGGAGAAAACCGGTGTCATAGATTTTAGAAAAATGAGTACCATTGAAGAACTACAAAACGGTGTCTCTAAGCTACCTTTTAAAGAGTTTAGACATATAGGTCTCTATAGAACATTAAAAAACTGCACTGGACTCTTTGAAAAATTGATGATGGTGAGACACTGAATCCACATAGATTTCCATCATATCTTGATGAATATATAGAGTACTCACGGATCTACATAATGATAAAAACTGCAGCTCTCTAGCTCATTCCTTTCTTGAGTTATTACAAAAATACCCACGGTTATTCTTTTTTCGGACAGACCTTAGTTTATCATCAATTATTCAGCTAATGCTTACTTACGAGATAGTCGATCTAATATAAAATAATCTATGAAAAAAACGAATTATCAATACAATTAATAAGGTTTTTACATATAATTCAAAATTCTTGAGTTTAATACACTTCAATATGTAAATAATAATCGTTCTATGTCACAAAGAGTCCTATCAAATTTGATCTTAGTAGTCAGCAATGATTGAGTAATACTCATTCAATATCACTATAGACTACTGATGCTGCACATGAACTATCCTTCTAGGATATCATATTTACATTTTGAATATTGAAAAATTTGTTTTTTCTATATCCTGTATAACCTGACCTTATTATCAATGAAATTTTAAGGTTTTATGAAATCATCAGCAAGACAAAAAAAATAATATGCTGAAGTAAACGAAAAACAAATGTAACCTACACTTTATCAATATTCAGAAACACTTCGTTGTTTTTATTTTTCTATTCTCATGACCTTGAATTACTGAATAAATTTTAGCGTACTCGATTCGTCTTTTTGATCGTTTCTTGTTTTCGAAAGCAGTAAAGCCGGTGAAACTGAAACTTTTATCACAAATGGAACACCAAAAATAAGAAGATATGTGTTTGAGAAAAAAAAAAATTTTAAGTGAAACTTTGTGGTTTTTTTTGAAAAACTCAGACTTTCCATAGAGTTACACTCTGGTTGCTTACGATTTTCGTGTAAGTTAGTTCAATTTGGCTGAAATTTTCACACCGAGAAAGTCAAAAGTCCAATTTTGGCACCGAAAATTTACATATTTCTTTTATGACGAACAAAAAAATGAAGTTTTTGGAAAGCCTTAAAATTATCTCTGAAATGTAGACTTGGGTATCTTTAAAAATTTTTTACTTACAAAACTTATCTCACTAGATAAATGAAGTAAGTCTTTGAAAAGCAAATATAAAATAATAAATAAATTGATGAAAACGCTCTTTTCAAGGTGTTTCTTTTTCTTTTCTTTTTACGCTTATTATAAAAAATATCAAATGCGTATATCGAAAAAAATACAGGTATACAATAACCTTGCGTTATTCATATATTGTTTGTCAGAACAATTTTTTACATTTTTTTATATGAAAGCTGAAAACGATAGACGAATTGTAATTGTAACTCATCTTGATGATGAACAATGTGTTGAATCAACAAATGAAAAATTTAATGAACTAAAAATTCGTTTTAATAAACATTTAAAAACTATTCCTGAATTATATTCACAAGATGATGATCATGATTCAGAATATATTGATGGTTTTCGAATGAAATGTCGTTTTATTAAATCAAATCATATGTTATTATTTACTAACGAACAAGATCGTCTTATTGAAATAACTGAAGCAACACGAAGTCAATCGTACATTGATGCTCATAAACATTATCGCATAAATTTATTTGATTTATATGTTTTATCGATTCGTTTAATTCATAAATCAATGTCTTTAAATGACTGGTGGATGGCTTATAAGACTTTTGTAACAACATCGAATATTAATAGTAAAGAAAAACAAATTCAATTACTTCGAAACTATTCACATATATTATAATCAAATTTTAATAATTTTTAATATTCATCTATCATAAAATAAGCAAATATAATTGTTCGTCAAACATTCATACTTATGAACGCATATTCATTAGAACTAATGCTCTACATTGTATCAAGGATGAGTTTATCATAAGCATACATAATCCAGTGAATCTATGATTATAGATGTAACATCGACTAATCAACAAAATTAAACTTATTCTTGAAAGATCAAAGAAAATAAGATTGAAATCAAGCGACTGGTAAAGTCTCGAAACTATGCATTTAGGGTGTGGGTGTGGGTGTGTAAGTATAGATGTATGAAAAGATATACCCACGCCCACACCCTTTTTCTCAGGCTTCGGCCGTGGTCCCCCCGGGGTGCCTTTTTCATGGAAGATTGTTTTTACTAAAATGTATATGATATACTGTAGTTTTTTGTGCTGATTCCGAATATGATATTCATTTCGCTCTCAACTTCAAATTAGATGAAGAGTCACTGTGAAAATGGTCGAAAATTACCCCGAAAATGGTTATGGTCTAACAATGTGCCAATGAAAACAAGCCTTAGAACAAAATTATTTTTTTTAGAAACTATATTGATTTGTAGAGTGTGAGACGATGCAGTTTTTGATCATAAAGTGATTTATGTCTAACTTCACTTTAGGAATTCAAAAACATCATACAAAAATATGAAAAATCATCCAAAATGCACAGAAACAATACTTTTCAGTTAATCTAATCCAATTTTCATCTTACATAACTCGAGAAAAAAACTCGTAAGAAATATGAATAATATTTAGTTTTGTAGAGCGTGAAAAACTGCATCGATCTATGTTATTAGTTTTGGCATTGAGATTAAAATAGAAAAAAAATCATGAACATTACAGTTATCATCTGAAACACTAAAAATCTACGAAAGACTCATAGATCCCTAAGACAAAGTGGTCTTGGAAAAATTTTTTTCTGATCAAGAAAAAATGAAACGGAATATACAGAAAGGTGTAGAATTTCAAGCTCTATCTTTCTATCATATTGAAAATGAAAACTGAGAGGTGACAGATTTCCGATGAAATCCCGCGGTGTCCTTTGAATTCCAAATTTGTCAACGTCGACAAACTTGAATTCCAAATTTGTCGAATCGACAAATTTTATCGACAAATTTACGATCGACATTTTTTGTAGTCGACAAAATCGATGTTTCCCTTAAAATCTTCTCAATAATATAATTCTATGTTCAATACTCTTGAAAAACTACCATAGAATATAATCAATTATTTAAATCATATTCCTTTTATTTTCATATTATCATTTCATCCAGTATTATTATTCCCATTATATATAAAGAATACCATTGATAACTGATGTCTTAATTTATTATTTATCATGATTGAAGTATATTTTAATTTTCTTATCGAATTTCTTTTTATTTAAATGATTTATACAAGATTAATATTTACAGAGAAGGAAAATATGAATGAAAGTTTTGTGGACGAACAAATAAGTCATGTGTTTTTAGAATTTTTACTTTAGCACAATTGAGACGTGTCGCATCATTAGTAAAATTATTTGTCACAGTTGCTAATGTTTGGTATTTAATTACAAGATGCATTAAACAAGGTAAATGAGTGTTTCTGTCAGAAAGAAACTGTATGACATAATCTTTGTGTGCTTTGTTAAGATTGAGTCTCAACAGATGATTAAATGTAATCAATGTAGATGAATCATGTTGATAATTTTCTTGTGGTTCAAGATTATATATGATTAATATTTGAAGAAAAGGAAAGTCTTGAGAGATAATTTTGAATAATTTATGTTCAAATGGACGTTCATCAAACATTGATAACAGTCGAACTTTATCAAATTTACCACCTTGAAAACAGCTACTCATAAACAAGAAATCATTAAATGGATATGGAATAGAATAAACATGACAGTGAGCTATATCATTTATAAATTTATCATGGGCACACGCATCCATTGATTGAAATCTTCTTTTGATGAAACTCTTCCGAATTTCATCACTCGATGGCAGATCAAGTTCCAGACCATTGTCATAAATTTGAGTGTGTATACAGAAGATAAATTTATGCAGTTGTGGCATATAGTTAAGAACTTCATCGTATAACTTATCACCATTGATATAAGTTGGTTCCATTCTTAATCTTACTACTGAAAGTTGTAACGTTAATTCTTCAAGATTTAACATTCGACGAAGTAATGGAACAATCTGTTCATCATAAAAATATGTATGTTTGTCTGTTCTTAATGAGAAATATTTCAATTTGACAAGTTTTTTCTAAAGAAAACAAGACAATTAGCAGATTTCAATGAACAAATTTGTTTATATTCAATGATCGCACTTATACTTACTGTATTATCTATCCTCGATAATGAACGTTTAATTCTGTTGATACGAATGATTAACGTAGATAAAGATTCGAGACTTCCATTAAGAAGATAAAGACAATCATCAAAACCATTGACTTCTATTGTCAATTTAGTGAGAGTTGAAGATAGAAAACTTCTGTATGAAGTAGTCCAAGACGAAAATGTTACATAATTTATTGAGAATGGCTGAGAAAAGGTCAAATCAGTTAAATATTTACCGACCCATAATATCAAGAGAAATATATTTTGTTTTTTTCCATTTTCATTAGGTATTTCTGCGTCCTCAGGATAAATATCGACAGTAAGATGTGTAATTTGATTACAAAGAAGATCAACTATTAAGCGACCTGAAATGTAAATAAAAACATTAGCAATTAATGATGTCAAATACAATCTATGATTATACTTGATAAATGTTCTAAGAGTATATCAGATTGAAAATTGACCAATGATAATGAATGTAGTTGAGGATAATGAACAGCATCAAGAATACGTTCCACAGAAAATGGATCAACAGTGAGCTTGGTTACTTTCTCATTAATTTGAGGTAAGATTTTTTCACAAATTTTATCAATGTATACATCTACCGAAGAATTATCAATATGAAATCGTTGGATCACAAAATCCAGATGATGAATATAAAGAGAATCGAGTGCTAGTCGATCAAATCGCTTATTTACACCTACCAATGAATAGAATATATCGATCGTATTCAATTTATTAAAAATGATGCGTAATATTTCATCCGGTAGATCGAGAATATTAATATCGTTGCTGTTTAAAATGTTCATCTCGAATGAATATTTTTCACTTCAACCATTCTTATCTTCTTCCAGCCTATATATATATGTGTATACAATCTGTCATTTTTCTCGCTACCATTCATGAGAATAATATTCATATAGGCATGTTTATGATGATGAACGCTTGATGCTATTTTTCTTTCTGCCTAAAATTCTTTTCATTCATAACGAAAAAAAATTTGCGCGGTCACTTGTTGATAATATGATTGCATTTATCATATGTCAAATGCATTTTATCAAGTGGTATCATATTTAGATTAAGTTGAAATAAAACACTCAATATATTGAAAATATAAATGCGCTATTGTTCTCTTTTGTTTGTGTATCTTCCATAGTTTCTTGAGTTGATAGTCGAAGTATTTGAAATGAACACATTAAGTTTTCATCGAGACTTCTAACATCGCTAGCATTATCGAATTTGCCACAATAATTTGGTTCAGAAAAAAATGTTATTGATTAATGTTTGATAAAAAATTTCTAACCGTATTCAACAACTTACAGTTATTCAATAGAACAAAAATATTCCATTTTGCTTTTCGATCAAATATAACATGATGTTCTCAACAAATAAAGTGATTTAATTTTGATTTTCAGCTGATTTAAATTAAATGGTTTCCTCTTGGATAAGTGTCATCTGTTTTTCACTGCTGCAACACAGAAACATCTTGATTCAAAGTATAATTATAATTGAGACAAAACTTTATCTTTTGCTTTTTTTGTCACAGTTATATGGAAGCCTTATTGTAATTGTAAAGTGCGGGTAAGATTAAAGTTTTGCTTTTACCGATTTAGGTCCTTAGATTTTTCAAAAATTTCATTTATATTCGAACTTGAAGTAGGCAGTTACACGCATATCTGAGGTAATCTGACTATTTAACAATTATTACTAGTAAAAAGACAAGATAATGTCTCGAGCATATTATGGTTTGGTAGTATTATCGCTTTTATACATTTCAATTATTTAATTAATTCTCATAATGCTCATTCAATTTCTTTTTAGTCTTTATTTATCGTTCTTTCCTTGATATTTTTTCTTCTTTATTCATTTCATAAAAACAGGTAGAAAAATAGAAAATGCCTTCACCATTTATAATATATCTAATGGATATAGAAGTCATGCTCAGTTGGTAGATTATACTCTCGTCTTTCAAACAGCATTGACGTCTCGGTTGGTACACGTTTCATCCAATACAATTGTTCTCTGCTTATACAGGTTGTTATTTATTATGCTTTTGATTGTGTTAATATTAGATTTGATGTTTTTATTAAAAAATGAACAATTCAAAAATATATAATATTGAATTTGTTACAATAGTCTTACTTTTGATATATTAATCTTCATGATCTATTAACTCCTTTTGTATCTCTATGTATTACAGATGAGTTTTCTTGTAAGACTATTCACAAAAATTATTGCACATCTAACAACAAGGAAAACATTTTTCTTGAAACTATCAGATAATAAATCACAGACCTTTCTTTTGTTCTGTTTCAACAGAATCATCTCAACAAAGTATTATAAAAAAGTGTTTATTACTGTTTATTTTCTATATACAAAGGTGATAAAAAACAACAACATAATAAATATTCATATTTATTAGTTGATATCAAAAGACAAAATTCCAATGTAGCACTTGTTCAACTTAATCTACCTAAAACATTTAATTGTCTATCTAATGGTCTAATAAAAGAGGTATGAATATATATTTAGTGTTAAACATTTGATATAAAAACGTCAATAATCTAACGAACCTTTCTATTGTAAAAAAAAAATTCTTTATCAAAAATAATATCACATCATTCATTCACAATAATATCATATTATTCATATAGGTTTATATTCTTATTCTAGTTGGCTACATTATTGGAACCACTTGATAATGATGATAAAATTGCTTGTATTTTTCTTACAGATGGTACACGTGCATTTGCTTGTAAATTGTATTTAATCTTCCATATGAATGTCTTGATTATGTATATATTAGCGGGTACTGATATCAAAGAAATGCAGAACAATACAATAACGCAAATTATTCATTCAGATTTTTCTGAAAAATTGTCAGCAGTATCAAAAATCAAAAAGCCAATTATTGCTGCTGTCAATGGTTTAGCAGTACGTTATTCTTTTCTTTTCATCTCTGTTTTCTATTTTCATTTATTAGTTAGGTGGTAGTTGTGAATTATCTATGCTGGTAACAAAGCAGACTTTAGTCAACCAGAAATTATTATTGGTACCATTCCAGGTACATAAAAAATTAGTATAATAATCTTAATAATACTTTTTTCTATCTTATTTTCAAAGGCGCTAATGCCACTCAACGTTTGTCTCGTTATGTCGGCAAATCAAAAGCAATGGAAATTATATTAAAAGGCAATCGAATCAGCACTCAAGAAGCTGAACAAATTGGTTTAGTCAATACTGTTTTTCCAGCCGATAAACTTGTTGAAGAGGCTATTAAAACAGCTGAATACATAGCTAGTTACTCGAAAATTGTTGCACAATTAGCAAAAGAATCAATCAATAGAGGTGAATACCTTTTTCTTTAGCGACAAGAAATTATCTTCCTTTTGTTGTATAGCATTTGAAACAACCTTGACGGAGAGTAATCAATTCGAACGATTCAAAAATCTTCGTTATCGTACGATATTTGGTTTGGTATGTTAAATATAAGATTGAAAAGGATATATAAATTTTTGTTTTCTTATTTAGACAGACGAAAAAGAAGGCATGACCGCATTTTCAGAAAAACATAAACCTAACTTCACTGGTCAATAATGGTAGTATTGTTGTGTTCTTGTCGATGATATATAACTTGTAGGAACATTCTTAATGTATATATATTCCATAATTGATTATATTCTTTTTTTTCCATTATTTTTTATTTTTATTTTTGCTACTAAGATTTGCATAGAGAAAGATATTCTTTATTAATAGAAAGGAAATTGAGAGTACAAAAAAATTCTGATAGAGGAGTTACGGTAGAAAATAAGGAGAAATTTTTACTTACGAAATTAGATTCAGTTATTCTTTTAACCCGACAATACAAATGAAGTCAGACACACTAATCGTCATATATTCTAAACGATCATAATACTTTTGAGATGTTTTCACATTGATGATTAATGCATCTCATTACTCATACGCTTTGAATTTTTTTTTCGTGTCTATCAGGTTTTAGTAAAGTCTTTTGTAATACAATTGATTTCGTTGTTATTAAATTAGTTATATTCGTCTATACTTGATTGACGAATTAATTAATTTAATACTTCTTTTTCAACATGAAGAGATGAAATCTCTTTTATATATCGAAATCTTCAACTAATTATTAACGTTGATTCTCGAATGTCATTGAAAGGAATATATAATTCCTATTTAACATCCTCAAGAGAAGATCTTTGAAATTAAACAAAATAAAAAATATATCTACGCCATAAAAACTAATAACATAGGAAGATAACACTGTTTTCTTGAGTAAAATCACATCATCTTGGTTGATTTAAGTGTGATGTAGATTCGTATATAAATGGTATGATTCGAAAAGAAGTTTCGAAGCATTGATCTTTTAACATAAGGAACTATTTATTAGCTTAAACAATACGACACTATATTTTTCTTTGAGAAGAAAACTATTAAGAATAATTAGCAGAAAAAAACCTCACATAGATAGCACACCTTGAATAATCAAGGCTATGAAAACAATATTTATGACTGTATCTAATTAGACACTATGAATGTCGTGATCACCATGGAGAGTACTATGATGATAGTGTACCGTTCAATAATTTTCTTCGAAAGAAAATTTTTGCTTTTGTATAGACACTGATTAAATTTTAAAATGTGTTCGTTTTTCTTTGATCTTTGTGTCACCTTTCTCTGTCTATCAACGACTGACGATAAATATGTAAAGAGAGAGAATGATGCAAACTTTGTTCAAAAGATTGTTTAAAAATTTCGTCAACACTTTCCTATATCATTTGTTTTTCAACTAAACAACAATACAGTTTCTTTTTCAAATGGACTTTATTTTCGGTGTTTTCTAATAAAAATGACGTTTTGGGTGTGGGTGGGTGTGGGGTGTGGGTGGGTGTGGGGTGTGGGTGTGGGTGTGGGTGGGTGTGGGTGTGGGTGGGTGTGGGTGTGGGTGTGGGTGGGTGTGGGTGGGTGTGGGTGGGGTGGGTGTGGGTGGATGTGGGTATGGGTGTTCTGTTTTTCACACCCACACTCAACCACACCCACACTCACACCCACACCCACATCCACACCCACACCACCCACGCCCACCCACACCCACACTCACACCCTGAGCCAGCGATTTACCCACGTTTCTATTTTTTATAATCTGTGAAGGCTAGAAAAATAAACGTCAATAATATAAATAGTTGAAGGACAAGTGTCTATGAAGTCTACTAATATCACGTACTATAATCTTTCGATGTTCGTAATATTTAATTGCTTGTAATATATCTATTCGTCATTGATTTAGTTAAATCCTCCAATCTCTACTTCTATTAATATATAATAAGGATGTGATTATCATATTCATTAACATGAACATCTAGTACATTCTTTCCTATAGCTCAACATCATCCAAACAAATTTGAAATGGTCTGTTTCATAATTTTTATGACCAATAGTGTCCTAAAATATTATTCATTTTTAGTATTGATACTTATACCATATTGTTGTAAGTTAACATGTTAGAGAATAATTATAATCTGTTTACAATGAATATAATACATTTATTTCATCAATAATGAACTAAGATATATCATGAGAAAGCAAAAATAGATAAATAAATTAGATTTATTATCAGTTTTTCATATACTATATGGTTGAAACTAGTCCATCATTGAATATGACAAAAAATATATAATTTCTAATTTTCATGATTTACAGATATTATAGTTAAGTATTCTGTTCTATTTTCTTTATAGTGATTGTAGTATTCAAACTGATCAATTTGTTATCGAAGATGAACAACAACATCATCAAACTATAATTCATTTCAACAATCTAATAATAGATGTAAACAAAGGTACTGAAGTTGCATCACCTTCGACAAATATAAATACAACTAGAGATGGACAAATTTATAGAACATTCAAGTAAATCGTATCGATTTTATAACATATATGTATATATCTTACTATTTCTTTATTTAGATTTCCATTTCTTCGTCTACCAATCATAACTGACAATAAACCATATGATTTGAACAATATTACATGTGCCAAGTGTCAATCACCTTTGAAGATCATTGCTGAAAAGTATAGCTCATTTAATTTTAAACGACAGTGTTTAGTTTATTTTTGATAATAGTCAAACTTTTAAAATTGTTCAACAGCAAAATGCTAATGCTGATGATATAAATGAAATCATGTATTGTCACAGATTTTGTGAAGCTCATCAACATGAACATAAACATCATCATCAATATCAATTACCTGTTCCTCTTGATCTTCATTCTGAGTTGATTATACTTGAAACTATCGAATGTTTGACTATTGGCAAAGAATATTCATCTTCAGATTTAATTCATAATGAACTTGTTCAATGTAGTCATTGTTCTTCATGTCTTGGATCATTTGGTATGTTAAATTCAGCATTCTCATTACTTGAAACTTCTATTTAAATCAGAGGAAATTTTTTATTAATTCTATTCAAATTCACTTCAATTTTTACAACTATTAGATGTATATCTATTTAGATCCTCAAAATAATCTTGTCTCATTCAACAAATATTCATTGTTACCTTTTTCAAATGACTATCTATCAACATGTTTTCGTCACTGTGAACCAGGTCGATATATAATTAAAGTGCCAAAGTGTAATGATTCAATATTTCTTGTTTGGATCTTACCTAATCAAATACTATCTGCTAATACAATCATTGATTCATCAAAGAATTCTGCACAACTTGATTTTTATCGAATGCGAAAAGTTCTCTTCACACATGTAACATCATCAGATAATCCAATATTTACTGAATGAAAACGAGACTTTTCTGTAACAACTTTTCTTGTTAATTGTTGCTGTCTTGATCATTTATCAATATCATTTAAACAAGCAATAGAAAAATTTCCTAATGTATTCAATAGCAAAGAATCATTTCAATCAGTAACTATTCCTTGTTAAAAATCATTGTTATAAATAAAAACTAAAGAATAGATAATTATCTATATGTCTTATTTTATGTATATATATATATCAAACGAAAAAGTCAGACAGTATGTTATCTTTAACGATTAATCCTTTCTTTGTATCAAGCAGTATAAGTAATAACAAATGTAAAATGTTAATAAGACCAAACAGCAATTAGTTGACGATCGAATGAACGAACAAAAGAAAAGAAATAATGATATCTGTCTAGTTCATTCATCAACATAGATACAAAAGTAAATGATTTGATACAAATAACTATGGAATCAAACGATACCAATACAAAAGATTGTTCTACTATATATCGTTTTCAATTTGCAAGTATAGCTTTTCTATGTAGTGTTTATCTTCCATTTACATCTCATTCAAATATATGGTCACTTTATACACAACCATTTACACCAGTTAATTGTTCGATGAATAAAAATTCAATTATTTCTGGATTAACATTAAATGTTTCAATAAAATCAATTCTTCCAATTCGCATTAAAAATCATAATCGAACAGATTGTTGCCCTTGTAAGGAAATTTTTAACGGAAATATACATGATAAACGTTTATTGATTCGTTGTCAATCATGGATTGCAAATCTGCATGAATTAGAAGTACGAAAAGCAACTATTATCGATGAAGTAAGTTCAATATCGTACTCAAAAGTATAAGATCACAAATGTTAAAACAGAAAAAAAGGGGGATAAAATTTTTATCCTATCCTCTGTCCTGCAGGACACAGTGGTTGACGGAGTTTCGGAAAAGCGATCGTTTTTTTATCAATAAAAACGATCATATATACGTATACAATCAAGTATTTTATTTCTTTCTTTTTTAATTCACGTTAAGTCACAGAAAATATTTAATACGAAAATAATAATTTAAAATTTTATTGATGTATTCTGCAAAAGTTTTAGTTGATAGTTTTGCCGTTTGTGAGATACACGCATACTCACTCAATTGGTTCGTATCAGTTGAAGGACTATAATTAAATGTGTTTTGACAAATGCGACTATTCATATAACTTTGGATACGTCTGCATTCTCTTGTAGGGGTGTGAATTTATTGTTATTGTTATTAATAACAATAACAAAAAAAGTTATTCGTTATTAAT